CAACTTAATCCAAAATCCTACTAAAATAGCTCAAAAATGAAAAAAAGATTTTTTTTTTCTCACCTTGTAGGGGTTCACAGCAGCAACTGAAGGAGGAGAAGAACTTTTGATTTTTTCTAGTAATTTTCATAATACACATGGCATTTAAACCAATTTAATTGAATTTAAAATTCAATGAATGAAAAATCTCCAAAATGACATTAATGAAACTTGATATTTACAAATTGCCATTGCAACATCTTTCATTAAAATATTCTTTGGTCATAGATGAATCAATTTGACTTTGAATTTCTACTTTGGCCATGCAATTTTTTAAATTTGCATTTTAGTCACTGAATTTTCAATATTTGATCAAATATGAAAAATCACATTGATTTGTGCTAAATTTCTCTGATCTAAAATATGGAAATAATATTTCCAACCTTTATCTAGCATCCTTCAATTTTTTGTGAAATTTTGATTCGATCCAATTATCAGGTGTCTATACCGATCTTTATCGTTTTATAGTTTTTAACACAAATCTCGTACTAAAAATCTGATTTCCACGGAAGTTCTTATTTTAGGTCAAATTGTTCATTTACGAGCTAAAATATATAACTTTTTAAAATTATAATTTTGGTCCCTTGACTTTTACAAAGTTTATACTTTAGTCACCAAACTTTCAAAACTTACATTTTAGTCACTGGCCAAAATTTGTTGTATTACATTAGCCAATGAATAGTATTGGTATTGTTCTTCTAGTACTGATACTCGTGCCTAGAAATGCCCTGCTTGGGCACGAATATGACTCCAAAAGTTACCCAAATACCCTACTAAGGTCCCCAAACATTATTAAAATCTTATGTTTGATAAAAAAAAGTCATAAAAGAGCCTTTAAACATACCATAAACACCAAAACAAGAAATCTACCATGGATGCTCATTCATGCTACATAACTCAACTCTTTAGCTAGAATGCATTCTAATGACTCACAAATTATATGAAAGAGTTGTGAATGTCTTACATTAGTCTCCTGGATGTTGAAAATGCCCTCAAATCAACCAAGGGCCAATTTCTCCTTCCCTCTGGCCTTGGAGCTCTCTTTCATTTATTTCACTAATCAAATGCAAGAAAATGAGTTACTAACTCATCTAGGAGCTTGGATTGAAGTTAATGACTCTTCCTAGAACTTAAATCCACTAAAAACGAGCTGGAATCACTTGGTCTCTTAAATCCCCACTAAAAACTATTTTTGGTTTCTATGGCCAAATCTTTATTTTAGGGGCTTAAATGAAAGATTGAAAGGTGGATATGAATATTCTTACCTTAATCAATTCAAACTAAGCTTGTAGCACCTCAAGTTTTGATCTTTGCTAAAATTCTTGAAAATGAAAAGAAAGAGATGAAGAAGAAGGTAAGGAACAAAGTTGGTGAAGGCCAAGGGCATGGGTACCGACGTGATATCATCTCTCATAAATGTATTTTAGCTTTTGTTTTGAAAAATAGTATAATTGCTCTTTTAGTCCTTCCTATTTCATCCTAGAATTAAAAACACCCTTTTTACCTCATATTGAGCTTAACCCAAGTCCAAACCAAGCACAATATGGAACAAGTCTTCATAAAACTAATTTATCTAATTTAGGACCATCTCGGCTTAGCCCAAAACTTCTAACCCAGGATTTGGGGCGTTACATTGATGTAGATGACATACTTTAGAGAACAATGGTGCATTTAAGCCTAGTTATAAAGAAAGAAATAAGGTATAAACCTTTCATTGAAAAGGTTATTATTTCAATAGTTTTTCGATTCGATGAAATTAAACACTTGAGATAAAGCAAAAAGAAATGTTGAAGGAATATTTTCAGTAGAGATAAATATGATGAGGATTTTACCAATCAAGATGAATATCATCCACAAAGTCCTATTATAGCAGTTCCCACATCTACACTATCATCTAGTAGTAGTGTTGGCACACCATTTCATAGAAATCCAGAGTTAATAGAAAATGTTTTTTTATCGTGTCTGATGTGATTATAAGATAATATTTTGTTAAGAATTTTCAAGTCAATTAACAATGAATACGTACACACCCTACAGATTCAACCACTCAACTCAAAACCTTTAGAGAGAATAATGCTCTCTTTTTTAATATTGAGGTCATATACTTTTAATAAATTACATATCAATATTAAGAAATAAAATATACAAAACTTTGTACGAGTAACTATCTAATATTTAAAGTTGCAAGAAACTAAAATCTTGATTACTGAACAAAAATTCACCAATTTACCAAGAAGCCATTGATGTAAAATGTGGACAATTTGTATAAAAAAAGTTATTCTCAAAAAGCATGAGGGAATTCCCACCTGAGCCATGCAAAAGATTCTTAATATCTTGATCGGGTGGCATGAATCTCATGGCAAGTAAATTATGTGCAGAATCTTGGCTCGATGGCCACCCCTTTTCTTTAGTTTAATTTAGTGGGAATGATAAAGAGATGCTTTGAAAGCTTTACATCGCTCAATTTCATGCTCACAAAAAAAAATGTTTGTGAGCCAAGGAAAGTTAAACCCTCTCCATGTTTACACGAATGAAAACAACATGAAGACTCGTAAATTATGAAGCACACACGCACAAGAAGGTCCACACCGTGTCGAATTATTAGAAAGTCTAACAAGCTCATCTTCACGGCCTCCAACGCAACTAGAATCTTTCTTTTTTCACTCGAATTCACAATCTCAACACTAGTTTCTTTGTTTGACCACAAATTTCTTTTCCTCCTTCAGCTTTGTCTCGATCCATTTAATAGGGGAATTAGAAATATTTTTTTAAGGTGATATCACATACACACATATTTATTAATTATACAAAAATTATGTATAAAATGAGAACAAAAAGGGATGGATATGGGTTGAGTCAGATTGGAATTTAGAATGATTTCATGTGAACTGAATCTCAATTTGTCTTTTGAGATAAAATTCATACTTGTATTCGATCAGAAATATATATATACATATTGATTTTATTTAATAAAATAGAGATATAATTAAAAATAATAGAAGGATTATTACAATTATTCATAAATATATAAGGTATAATTATATTATCTTTTGGTTTAGGTTGTGTTGAATATTTTTCATCTTAGACTCGAATATGACCCGAACCTATATTCTAAAAAAACTTAACTCGACTTAATTGAAATCTTAATTTTTTTTCTAAATATTTGACCTATTAAATTCAGGTCTCATGCTTAATCCATGGATGTAAATAAAATTTTAAGACGAACCTATTAATTAAAATAAATAATTAAAGAAAATTTAAATTTCGAGATAGAGATATACTCACTCTAAATAAGACGTAAATCCGCGACATATATATTCTAGAGTTAATTTATTTTTTTAATAGTATCCAATTTAGTCTCTAATGTGAAAATCTAATCAATTCATACTGTTCAACATTGGAAGATTGGACTAGGGGAAATGAAATAAGATGAGCCACCATTGTCAAACTCATTAAAAAAATTGACGCCAATTAGACCAGACCAGGAGCCACCAGAAGAGCGTAAAATAAAAGCCGAAATCGACAATAACAATAGTAATATATGCTTGGGAACCTGAGGGTTTTAAATTAAATAGTGTTGTCGTAGAGTAGGAGAAGACGTATAGAAGATTTAATCTCTAAATAATTGATGATTCCGTATAATAATATCTTTATCAACGGCCTAATTTATGCCCATAGTGGATACAAACCACGTTTTCTTTTAGTAGACAAATATGTATATAAGACAATAGGTGAAACCAACTCCGGTAACATCAACTTCGTCAATTGGAAGAAGTTTTGTCACATCTGGATTATGGGTGAGAGTTGAGTCTCATCATGTTTCCTGTTTTGTGTTCCTCATCGGAGGTTAACTCGAGTTTCTCTTTGAAGCTTTAATCCCCATCATGCTTCTTGTTTTGGGTCTATGTTAGCATGTATCGGATTCGTCTTCTAATGGGAAGATCCTATCCTGTGTGGTTACAAGGAGACACGAGGTTATGTGAACCTCTTGTTACGATGTTTAGATAATAGATAGTTAGGTCTATTGATTTGTCTGATTACCATGTGCAGAGCTGAAATTAGGATCGAATCTTGAGAGAGGTAAAGTATCTAAATTCAAAATAGCATGTACTTATTAGGTATTTAATCTAAAAAACTTGGAGGGACAAAAGTCTATTTTTTTAAGTTTAAACCGAAAAAACCTAAAACATTATTAGACCAAAACTTTTGGGAGGGGCAAGAGCCCCTTCCACTCTCCGTATGCATCTATCACTGAATATGTAGTTTGATATATCATGTTGATTGGAATATTTATGTTTTTATGTTGATACTTGTTTGCACTTAGAAGACACATTAAACTCTATAACCTATTCATATTTTTGATTTTCTTTTTTAGACTCTTTAGATGTAGGATTAGTTCGATAATCGGATACTGATTTTAAATTTCTTTAAACTCAGGAATTCATCTTGCGATCTTAGTAATTAAAGAAAGTGATTTTTTAAGCAGTTGCGTCTGTAGGTTATATATGTATTATCAATGATTAGTAAAAATTATGTAGTAGTTACTAGTTTGTTTGGCGAGTATGTACCGATTGCCATTGTAGTCGTTGTCCATAGGTGACTAAAATCCCACCGAAGAAATCTCAGCACCAATCCGCCCCATACATTTATGTTTGTTGATTAGGTTATTTAATTCAAATTCCTTGTTTTATTTCGTTGAAATGGGTAAAGGCTGCTGATTTTAAAGTCAATCCACTTGGTCTTGCTAAGACGTACTTACTACGGTTGACAAAATTTCAAACAAACACAGCTATAATTTACTGTATGTTATTGGTGCATTACTCCTAACACAGAAAAAAGATGTAAGATTTACCAAAAGGTTAACATTAAAAAAAAAGAAAAAAAAAATAAAAAAACAAAGAAGAAAAGGGTATTTATACATTTAATAAACATTTGACCAGTTGCCCTTTAGCATGTGTCAAACAGGATAGATTGGCATAAAACACATTGTGCTGATGGACATGGGATGATGGGAAATCAATCTGGAAGGTAATTCTTTGGAGAAAAGAAAAGAAAAGAAATGAAAAAGTGTGAGCTTTGCGATTCTTTAGCAAAGATGTACTGTGAATCAGATCAAGCCATCTTGTGCTGGGATTGTGATTCCAGAGTTCATGGTGCCAATTTTCTTGTTGCTAAACATCAAAGGACTCTTCTCTGTCACCTCTGTCAATCTCCAACGCCCTGGAATGGCTCCGGAACGAAGCTCGGCCCGACTGTTTCCGTTTGCAATAACTGCGTCAATCAAAATGATTCTGGAGACGAGATTAACGACGAAGAAACACGCGACGACGATGAGGAGGAAGAGGATGGTAGTGAAGAAGACGGGGGTGGAGACAGCGGCGATGATGAAGAAAATCAAGTTGTTCCATTGTCATCTACGGCGCCACCGGTTTCCAGCTCCTCGACGAGCGAAGAATGTTCCGCCAGTTTCGCAACGAGACAGTAGTAGATCCGGTCCTCTCTCGAGTAAGCTAATGTTTTATGTTTCTGTTTTGATCATCCAGGTTGCTCATATTGTCCACACAACATCATGAATTCTGTCAAAGATTTCAGCTTCTCTAGATGCCTTTTATTTCATCCAAATCACCAGAAATAACAACACAACACTGTTTGATGTCTGCAAATGACAAAATCTCCTTCAAAAGCAGACATTTATGTTCTTTTTTTTCTTAATTATAAGCTAATTGGTTTTTCACCATTGTATTGCAGCAAAATGATGAGGGAGACCAGTAACATCTAATAAATTTTGTTTTTTTCAATCCATATTATCATGCAAATATGTAAGAAAACAGCATCATACTCAACCTAGATTATGCATGAACTGAGAGACTTTAATAGTAAAAAAAATTATTGTTATTTCTTAAAGTCTTAGATTCAAATATAAAAATATAATAATTAATATTAATAATTAAAATTTATTTTAAAGAAATACTGAATTATATTTACCTCAAATTAATTAACCTAAGATGATATTAGCATAACTTTCGGAGGTAAATTGCATTATAATTATGACAGTTTTAGTATTTCAAGAAGATAGCACCACATCTCCAATAACGACAACATTTTCATTATCCTTGTTTTTGTTCATTTTCCGACACATGTTAAGTGGAATCATGACAGGCCAATTTCCCTTTAATTATTGTTATCTCTCGATATTTCAGAATTTAATTAATTATTTTATTATATAAAATGAGCTTGACAAGTGGAATTAACCCTTTACATGTTCAACTAGGATTGAATTATCTGACCAAGTAAACCCATAATTTCATTTCCAATCGTATAAATTTACCTTCACCACAAGATTCACACAGACAAAACCGTTGAAAAAAACCAAAGGTTGTTTTCAATGTTTTGTTTTGCATTCGCCACCAGTTTTGGGCAGTTCTGTGCATAAGTTGTTTTCTTAATTATTGGGATACTGTGCATAAGTTGTTTTCTTAATTATTACGAATTTAGTACCTAAAATTTTGATTTCTTTCAAAATCATACCTAAAATTTAATTTTTATTTTATTTTAGTACCATATTTAAAATTTAATTTTGAAAGTAAAATTGAAAGTTTAGGTACTAAAACGGACAAAACTTATAGTTTATGTACTAAACGCATTAAGTTATTAGGGTATATTATGCAAATTAGTACCTAAACTTTCGGTTTTTTAAAAATCATACTTAAAGTTTAATTTTTTTTATTTTAGTACCATGTTTAAAATTTAACGTTAAATATTGAAAACAAAATTAAAAGTTTAGGTACTAAAACGGACAAAACGGATAGCATAGGTACTAAATGTATTAAATTTTTAACGGTAGGGTGTCAAAATAAAATAAAACTAAACATTAGGTATAGTTTTGAAAAAAATAAAAGTTTAGATATTAAAACAGGTCAAAAATTAATAGTTTAGGTATTAAATGTATATTTACCCTAATTATCAATATATTTTAATATACCCACCATCACATCAGCATATGCGGAAAAATTATTAACATTAATTAACTAATAAGTTAGTACTTTTAACAGTATAAAAAACATTGCTATGAACAGGGTTGGTTCAAGTGGTAAGCAGTTTGATTTCGCTTAATCAATGTCGATTGTTTGTGTATTCAGAAAATCCCTACTAGGAGATTCACCCACCAAAATCAGGTGTGCGACGCGAATCTATCCGAATTAATCAGGACAAAGTTTTAGAACTGGAAGGACAACCATAATAAACGTTGCTTAATTACCTAATTTATCTAAAAAAATCATCATAGTTTGATTACGCCATCGACCAACCACATGAATCCTTTGATTCTTATCGTATGGAAAATCAGATTATGTTAATTATATGTAAGATTAGAAGGATTAATTAAAAAGCAAGGCATGAGTTTTGTAGAATGAAGGGAAAGCTTCCGACAACTCACGTGCCTACCAAAAAATAATCATGAAAATTAGAATTCACGTTCCAGGTTTGCTTAATTAGTAGTCTAATATTTATTAAAGAACTAAGAAAAATTACATTATTGTAAAATAAAAAAGCCAAAGGGTAATAATACGTATGTGTTACTTTTTTACATCTTTTATCATTTTTTATAAAAATATAAATACAATTAATGTTTGATATATTTATAGTGTATAATTTCATACATTATTAATGAATTAAATAATAATACACATGTCATAATATTTTACACATAGATAAACACGAGATGTTATATCGTAATATGCGAATTCTTATATTTACTAAAATTATAGTAAAATAAGTTAATGTGGAATAACAAACATAATAATTAATAGAAGAAACATGCACATCAAATAACGTTCTTTTTTTTCTTTTTTACATTTTCTTTTTTCTTTTTTATATTTTATATTTTCTTTTTTTTTTCACATTTTGTTTTTTTTCAAACAATCAATTTGTATCAATATATTAGAGTTTTATACGTTAGAGATGAAGAAAACTTGTATATTATTAAAACTTGACTTATATGTTAATTCCTAAAATATTTAAGAATAAAATATAACAACTTTTAAGAGAAATAATAATTATAAAGTTAAAATAAACATTTGTAATTGTGCTCAAGTCTCTTTCATTGGAAACTCAACTACAAATTTGGAAACTAAACTTTACTTCTTTTCTTATTTCACTCATTGTACTTCGAATCTTTTCAATTTCTTCATTGAACTTAATACTTTGGGTTCTTTTTGTCACCCGTCCGTTAAATAGTTAACGACGTTAAACTGGACTATTATATAGGTGTAAACCGACGTCGTTTTGCTATTTTTTTTAAAGTGGTGTCGTTTTTAACACCGTTAACTATTTAACGGTGGAGTGACCAAAATATTAGAGAGTGTAAAGTTTAGTTACCTAAAAAACTCATTGTATTAAGTTAAGCGGAAAAATTGAAAACTTTTAAAGTTCAATGAGTAAAATAGGAGTGAGTATAAATTTCAGTGATGAAATTTATAATTTACCCTATTAAAAATTATATATGTAGCTGTTATCTACTTATTAAATGCAAACAAAATCAATTGAATTTCTCCATAAAAAACACAATTAATCATATGTTATATTTGATCTATTAATTAATAAACGAACTAATTAGATAATAATATGACATCAATATTCTGATGCTGCAATTATTGATGGTTCTATCTGTTTTCTGATAGAACAAATAATATAAGTTCTACATTCTATTTGCAATAATTACCATTACAATCTTATCTGAAAGTTGGATCTTTAAGTTCAAACAAAGATATAGAGAAAGGATGATTCTTATACGCTCGACAAGCAACGATGCACACCATTAAAGATGAGCGTCGATAAATTAACTTATAAAAGTTTAAATTCTAAAGGACTCCAAGTATAATTATAAATTAGTTGAAAATTTAAAGGTAAATTATTTAAAATAAAGGGTAAACTATACAAGTGACCACATGAATATTGCCCATTTTCATTTTGACCACCATTTTTGAAATTTTCGCAAATCGTCCTCATTTTATTTTCAAGTATTATTTATAAATTTTAATTATGGATGATTTCCATAATATTTTCAATAAGTTTTATGAATGATTTAGGGTATGAACCGCCAAAGTACGATTTTTATGATGATGAATTTTAAAGGCTTATGATTTTCAAACGTTGATTAATTAATGATTCTATTATAATAGATAAGCTCATTGTATGTTGCGTTGAGAGTCGTAGGTACATTTGGCATGCCATTAAGTTAAGTGCATTCCAGTTATTAGTTAAGTTATGGTACATTCATGCACATAATGATCTGCACCGTTGGTGCTCATGCTATGATTGCACTTGAAGTGCATTATATGTTTCAGTTAAGATTGGCACTGTGATGTGCCTAGTGCACACCTTATGTTATACTCAGTATATTGTATTCTCTTACATATATATTGGGCTATGAAGGTAGATATGAAATTTATGATAAGTATATGAAATAAAAGAATATGGAAATAAAATGAAAGTTATGAAATATGTACGAATGAAAAGAATATGAAATGTTTGTTATATCTTATGTTGATTTACATGATTTTTGGTAAAATCATGAGATGATGATTTTCAGGTTTTCAAGAGGAAAACAGCTAGAATAGTTGATTTGGAAGTTTTAATGTTTTTGTTTAAATTACAGATTTATGTTTATAATACTTTATGAAAATTATGTTTTATCTTGCTTTAGTTATTTTAATGTCTCACTAAGTTTTACTTATGTGATGATTTTCATGCGTAGGTTCAGATAAAGAAAAAAAATACTTGGAGTGAGAAGTACTAAGCGCATATTTTCTTGGGAAATCCTATTGACCTATAGTATCAGTAAGACATCTTTAACTTATTAGTGACATGTATATTATAAAAGTTATGTTGTTCCGATAGAACTGCTTTAAAAATTGATTGGTTAATTATTAAATTAGGCAGTATTTTGGTAGTTTATATATGTTGAGAAACGACATTGAACTGCCTAATTGTTGCCTAAATTCAGATTAAAAATTTGATGATAAAATATTATTTTATATTTTTAAACGAACGATTAAATGGATTTTAATTGATAATTTGAAATTTGAAAATGAAACAATATTTTAAGGGTTATCAAGTACGAAATATATAAAAAGTCAATGTGACATCTTTAACTCATATTTAAGTACATACACGGGTTAAGGGTGTTACATTTATTGGTATCAGAACTACAGGTTTAGCCGATTCTCAGCCTAAACCAAGCTTATTTTATGTCAGAAATGTGTACATGCCACTAGGATGTCAATATTACTTATCTCCCAGTTAAAAAAGTTGACTATCGAGAATAGTTATCCCCTTACTAGGATTGATGACCTTTTCGACCAATTAAAGGGTGCGTGTGTGTTTTCCAAGGTAGATTTGCTGTCCGAGTACTACCAGTTAAAATTTAAAGAATCTGATGTAGCAAAGACGATATTTAGAACCCGTTACAGTCATTATGAGTTCCTTGTAATGCCGTTTGGACTCACCAACGCCCCGGCAGCATTCATGGACCTCATGAACAGAGTGTTCCACCCATACTTTGACCAGTTTGTGGTAGTGTTTATAGATGATATTTTGGTGTACTCGCGATCAAATGATGAGCACCACCAGCATCTCCGTATAGTTCTCCAGGCCCTCAGAGAGAGT